TTGGTTTAGTAATTATTCCGACCCCTATATGGTAGATTTCTGTTCGCGGTCTCAGGCCTGAAGCCCGGCAAACACAACGAACGGAGCTTCTCGGTGCTAGGGTTGGGGTTGTTCTTTTTGCCACACCTGGGTTTAGGGTTTCGAAGGTTTAGGGTTTAGGGTTTAGGGTTTCGAGGGTTTAGGGTTTCGAGGGTTTAGGGTTTAGGGTTTAGGGTTTCGAGGGTTTAGGGTTTCGAGGGTTTAGGGTTTAGGGGTTTAGGGTTTAGGGTTAAGGGTTCAGGGTTTAGAGTTTAGGGGCCTTGCTGGATCCTGGACTTACTGTCAGGGTCGACCGGGCCTGGAGTGGTGTGCAAGGAGGGGCCCACCTAGTCGTAAGCAAAGTTCTACAAGGACCCTAAATGGAGAAGGAGCCTATCTTATATAGGTTATAACTCCCTGAACCCAAGTGAGTATGGTAAGGGGGGGTCCCTCCTTGTCGGAGGCCCTCTAAACCCTAGCCCTAAACCCTAAACCCTAAACCCGAAACCCTAAGCCCTAAACCCTAAACCCTAAACCCGAAACCCTAAGCCCTAAACCCTAAACCCTACACCCAAAACCCTAAACCCATGGATGAGTTTGGCAAAAGGCGAGGTGGCTGCAGGTGCAGCATGCTCGACTGAAAGTCCATCATCGCCCGGAAGAAGCCTCACGAGGGCTCCAAGGCTTAGGATTAGGGTTTAGGGTTTAGGGTTTAGGGTTTAGGGTTTAGGGTTCTTCTTTTCAGGTTTCGTGGTTATGAGGGCTCCAAGCTGGGATGTTCCCCCTTATACTAACAAATCCTTAATAGAGATGAAACTCCCTACTAAGGACTGTTGGCATAAGGGGCAACGTCTTGGGACGCCAGAAGTCGCTGAGTTCAGGCCTGCTTGCTACTGCAGTCGCATCAGCAATTTCGGACCCCTTACAAGCCTACTTGCATAACGCATGGGCTCGGCTTTCAGCCATCCCTTCTCAGCCGTGCCACAAGAGAAGATGGTCGGCGTGCCAGTGAGGCTCTCATAACGCAGGGCGGCCGTGCTTGCCTGGCAGTCTTTGCTTCTCTTTCTTCGGGTAGTTGCATTCTTCCTCAACATGGGCCCTTAAATGGGACCCGTGATAGACTCCCTGATTACCTGTACAGCCCAAGGGGCCCATATTGCAGAACCCTTCGAAAGGAGGTGAGGGACCATATGAAGGGACTTTGCGTTTAGGGTTTAGGGTTTAGGGCGATGTAACTACCCTTCTATAGACCCTTCTTCAGGCGAGAGCCGACACTAGGCTCGGCGCGTCAACAAAACAAAAGTACCAAAGAATAGCGCCTCCGATTCCTAGCATCGCAAGCCATACCAAAAAAACCCAAAGATCACTGGTATAAGTTGATGTGTGAGATAGATAGGTCCGATAGACAGGTAGATGGACCGACACCCGGATATATATATATATATATACATGTCGTTTGGGTCGTATGCTAAGGGTAGCATCGGAAATTTTATCCTAAGCACCAAACGTCCTAGGGGTTGTACCTTGGACCCCTAAGGTTGTACCCTTGGGTTTTGGGGTTTAGGCACCCTTTTTTTGAGTCTGAAGTGCCGGCCTTATCAGATCCGAGTTGAAGACCCCGGAGCCCTCCCCAAACCCTCAAGCCCTACAAGCCCCGGAATCCCTCAACCCCTACTTGGAAGCCCTTTTGACTTAGCAAGTCTACCCCTAGAAACCCCTATCATAATTCACATTAACCCTAAACCCTAAACCCTAAACCGAGGCACCTCGTTGCTGGTGATCAGAGCCTCTGGCGCAAAGTCTTCCAGGGCATCCTGCAAGGAAGCTGAATAGGGTTTGGGGTTTGGGGTTTGGTGTTTAGGGTTTAGGGTTTGGGGTTTGGGTTTATAAGGTTCATAAGGTTTAGGAGCAAATATGGTTTCGCGGAAAGGGGGGCCAAATGGGCGCATCGAGCCACGCCGTTTTATCCCCAAGATCCCCCAAATCTCGGCCGCAAGTCTTCCTGCGTGCGTGGCCTATACAAACTCAACCTGCTGACTTCTTGGCGTCGTCCTCCAGCGCCGTGCACGTGCCTGGATGGTCCTGGTGGTGGTTTAGGGCCGGCTACCGCAGCTCACTAGACTGGCTATGGTGCACATGTCAAACGCCCCCAGCTCTGATATAGAATAAACCGTCGGACACCCCTACAGATCAGGGAGCCCTGGAGCCCTTGACACAGGAAGCTCCTAAAATTCGTAGAAGGGAATTGGTTCTGGTAGGGAAATAGGTGCCAGGTGCCCTTCGTAGTCCCTTGGTAGCCCGGGAACCATACTAGAATAAGGGCACCCTGTGTTGTGCCGATTACTTTACAAGGGAACCTTGACCCAAAAAAAGGAAAAGGGTACCACTGGACTACCAGTATCCGGTAAGAGCGTTCCATCAGGTAATGTGAGGTACGACTTCCCCACTTCTAAGAGCTCGTAAACCCTAAACCCTAAACCCTAAACCCTAAACCTATAAACCCTAAACCCTAAACGAGACAGCTCCTCGAACCACTGCTTCGCCGCACGCTGCGCCCGGGACACGCTCTTCAAAGAAGAGAGCAGTGAGTGCCTCCCCAACCAGCACTCGCCAAGAATTGTTTAGGGTTTAGGGTTTAGGGTTTAGGGTTTAGGGTAACCCTAAGAATCTTACTGTTGGCTAGCAGGGAATGAGGGATTCTCAACCCCATATCTTCCCTTTAAGGGAGTATATAAGCTGCCTCATTCCCAGATTCCCTACTAACCAGCAGGAAGGAATTGGTGGCTTTCCTACACTTCCCTTAGAACCGTAACTTAAGAATAATATGCTTAAGATGCCCTTGATGTGCGCTATCACGAGTCTTCTATTGGCGTCTTGCCTCCTTGCTCACCTTCCACCCCGCCCCCAAAAAAGTATGCGTTTGCTGTGTGTGGGGTTTCATATGAGAAGCGCAAGATCACAACGGCCGACCACTACCACAGGACACCGCCCCGGGCTTCAGTCAGTTTGTTTGTTGATGGTCTCCGGCCACTGGCCAACTGTCATCGGCCACCGGCCAAAGACGAAACGATTATGTTTGTATTGCCGTCTATCCGGATTTAAGTGTGGCAACAAGTAACGCCCGGCAGGGTGGAGAAACAACTGTTGCTTGACCACACGCGGCTCCCTGCCAAACATAACTGGTCACTGCCACTGGCAACAGGGATCCTGGCCACGTGCCTCAACTTAGACTTGAGCACATTCTTGATGAATGCAGAGGGCACGAGAGCTGGTGTATTCACCGGGGCCGTGTCTGCAAAACAACTCCTAACCGGGGTTATGGGTTCAGCCACAGGCACCAACTTACAGCCACTGGCGAGGTCTGCGCTCACTGGGCACCTAATTCGTAGCATTGTTTTCTATATGTGGGTGTTTTTCCGTTTGCAAGTGAGTTCCTCTCCTCTTGCTCTTAAGTATAGGAAGGTGCTTCATGTGGCAGTGTGCGTTTGCCTTTTGTCTTGGCCAGGTGATGTGCGCTATCACGAGTCTTCTATTGGCGTCTTGCCTCCTTGCTCACCTTCCACCCCGCCCCCAAAAAAGTATGCGTTTGCTGTGTGTGGGGTTTCATATGAGAAGCGCAAGATCACAACGGCCGACCACTACCACAGGACACCGCCCCGGGCTTCAGTCAGTTTGTTTGTTGATGGTCTCCGGCCACTGGCCAACTGTCATCGGCCACCGGCCAAAGACGAAACGATTATGTTTGTATTGCCGTCTATCCGGATTTAAGTGTGGCAACAAGTAACGCCCGGCAGGGTGGAGAAACAACTGTTGCTTGACCACACGCGGCTCCCTGCCAAACATAACTGGTCACTGCCACTGGCAACAGGGATCCTGGCCACGTGCCTCAACTTAGACTTGAGCACATTCTTGATGAATGCAGAGGGCACGAGAGCTGGTGTATTCACCGGGGCCGTGTCTGCAAAACAACTCCTAACCGGGGTTATGGGTTCAGCCACAGGCACCAACTTACAGCCACTGGCGAGGTCTGCGCTCACTGGGCACCTAATTCGTAGCATTGTTTTCTATATGTGGGTGTTTTTCCGTTTGCAAGTGAGTTCCTCTCCTCTTGCTCTTAAGTATAGGAAGGTGCTTCATGTGGCAGTGTGCGTTTGCCTTTTGTCTTGGCCAGGTGATGTGCGCTATCACGAGTCTTCTATTGGCGTCTTGCCTCCTTGCTCACCTTCCACCCCGCCCCCAAAAAAGTATGCGTTTGCTGTGTGTGGGGTTTCATATGAGAAGCGCAAGATCACAACGGCCGACCACTACCACAGGACACCGCCCCGGGCTTCAGTCAGTTTGTTTGTTGATGGTCTCCGGCCACTGGCCAACTGTCATCGGCCACCGGCCAAAGACGAAACGATTATGTTTGTATTGCCGTCTATCCGGATTTAAGTGTGGCAACAAGTAACGCCCGGCAGGGTGGAGAAACAACTGTTGCTTGACCACACGCGGCTCCCTGCCAAACATAACTGGTCACTGCCACTGGCAACAGGGATCCTGGCCACGTGCCTCAACTTAGACTTGAGCACATTCTTGATGAATAAACAAAAGTACATAACTCCTGGGGCGGGGCTATAGTTTCGAAAAAAACAAGAGGATAGGCCCCGTCTCATAAAGATGTGAAGTAGGGATTATATTTCTTGTATTCCCAAACGGACACCCAGTATGTACACTCACCAATATTAAACTGGAACCTTATATACACTCACCAATAACACAAATAAAAAACCCTGCTTCATGTGCAAAAGGAGGGGTCAGCTCCAAGGGCCCTGAAGTTGGCTAAAGAGTATTACGACTTACAAGGAGGGGTCCCCTGCTCCCTTACTATACTAACTATAGTGAAGGGAGTTATAGCCCAAGATAGGATCCTTCAAACCCAACTTAGGGTCTTTGTTGTATAAGTCCCTTAACTACTGTTAGTCTGTAGGTACCTGGTTCTCTCATTCCCGTCGAAGTGCCAGCAAGTTATCTAAGACCTCAACGCCTGAGAACGCTAAGCTCACGGTAAGCCCCATTCACTGCACCTCTTGTCTAATCAGGGTTTAGGGTTGAGGGTTTGAGGTCGCATGGTCCTTGCCGTTGCACAGAAATGATACAGGAAAGGAAGGGTTAAGAGGTGGTTGAGGGGCCATAGGGGTATGGCGACCTGGCCAAAGCAAGGCCTCGGCAACGGGTCTAGGGTCTAGGGTCTAGGGTTTAGGGTTTAGGGTTTAGGGTTTAGGTGGGTCGGCAAAACGAAAAGTGCGCGTCCAATTGCAGACAGAGCTCCCAGACACACCGCCGATGCGCTCGATACATGCCTCCAAGAACATTGGAGGAACACCAACTGGGGGTTTAGGGTGTAGGGTTTAGGGTTGGAACACCAACAAGTGTATAATTAGGTACATGGACCCTTAGGGTCTTAAGCCACTGGGCCGTTCTGGTTTTGGGTTTTTGATTGCGGGTCTGCGCTGCCCGGGGTGAAGGTTTCTAAACCCTAAGCCCTAAGCCCTAAACCCTAAACCCTAAACCCTAAACCCTAAACCCTAAACCCTAAGCCCTAAGCCCTAAGCCCTAAACCCTAAACCCTAAACCCTAAACCCTAAACCCTAAACCCTAAACCCTAAACCCTACCCCCAAAACCCAAAACCCAAAACGTTGATAAACTCTCGGAAGCTCAGGGCTCACGAACCAAAACTGTTGAAACCGGGTCCTTTACGCTACGGGAACCATGCGGCTTGCAGGTTTAGGGGGTTTAGGGTTGGGATGCTAGTAACAGGCTTAGGGCTTAGATTAGGGTTTTGGGTTTAGGGTTGGGATGTTCCCCCTTACGCTAACAATCCTTAATAGGGATTATAAAGTACCCCCTATTATGATCCCCATTAAGGACTGTTAGTATAAGGGGGAACATCCCAAGCTCAGGGTTGAGTGAAGAGGGTGTTAAAACCCAATCGTCACCTTAAGCTCTCTATTTCCTGGGAGTTGAAACCTGGAGCCCTCTAACTACAAAGCACTTCACCCGCAAAACCCCTAAAGCCACCTGCGTGTCGGCAAACACCGGTACCATGTCCACGGCGTGGCGGGCGCAAAGAGCCGTGTGATTGGCGTTCGTGAAGATGCAAACCTGCAACTTCGGTGATGGACTTCTCGATAACCTAAGTCGCCCTTGGCGCCCTTAAAGAACCTGTGAAATATTGCCCTAAGCCCTAAGCCCTAGCCCTAAACCCTAAACCCTAAACCCTGAACCCTAAACCCTAAACCCTAAACCCTAAACCCTAAACCCTAAACCCTAAACCCTAAACCCTAGACCCAAAGGGTACAAATGACGCTTTGGAGGTTCTGGGCGTTGGGCCTTGAGGCTCCGGGCTGCCAATGAGTTGTGCCATAAGAGAAGGTTGAGGGTTAGGGTTTAGGGTTTGAGGTTTATGGTTTTAGGGGTTTAGGGTTTCAGTTTTAAGAACGAAGCTTGGGGACCAAATGAACAACAAAAAGGTTTACCTCATTAAGAAATGTAGAAGTGTAGGGTATATGACCCTATTTTTCGGGCTCATTTGGTCCTCAGGGTAAGCTTTCTGGTTCACAAGTGGGGAATGAGAAAAAGAGGTACCCTATTGTATCCCTACGTTACCCTTTCAGGGGTGAGATGTAGGGTACCAAAATCTCTCGTTCCCTACTATAAGAACACGTAAGGCAAAGCCGTGCAGGGGATTCTTTGGGTCTCACGGCTAACGGTATAACTGAGCAAGTAAATAGCCCTAAGGGTCCATGAACCTAATCATTATTATACGCTTGGGCCCCACAGTCCCCATACAGCAAGTACTTTGAGGCCCTATTTAGATACATGGACCCTTAGGGTAGTAAGCCAAATTCGCATCCTAAGTCCCGTAGAGGCCTGGTGTCCCAGGCGACGCAGGTCCAACGCCAGCGCCACGTGTGGCTGGACGTCGCCCCGTGATCCGCTCACAACAATCGCCACGCGAAGGCCTTGCTGTTTGAGGCCTAAACCAAAGAGCAAGAACCCTAATGGGGGTTATCATGAGAGGCTGATAGGGCTTGGAGTTTCGAGTTTTGAGGCGCAGTCAGCTAGGGCTTGCTTCTTTGCTTTACTGAGACAAAGCGGAAGGGTTCTTGCTAGTTGTTTTTTGCTGAAAACCTCCGAAACCCTAAACCCTGAACCCTCAACCCAAAATACCAGGGCAGATGGCCGCTACGCGAGGCAGTCAACTGGAGCCTTGGCCTTAACTTTGACCTTCTGGGTGATTTCCGACCATTGTTGTGCAACGGTTCTTCCTTTCATGCTATTTGTTGGCATGTTCCCCCTATACTAACAGGTTAATAGGGACTAGAGCACCCCCTATTATAATCCCCGTAAAGGAGTGTTAGTAAAAGGGTAAACATATCAAGTTCTTTGGGCTTTTTTTGGGACGAAAGATCTCCTGGAGAGATAACGCCTTAAGACAGCCTGACCCACCCTGTATGCTACATTCAGGTACCCGTGATATTGTCGGTTACCCTATACGGATCTTAAGAAGAGGCTTTGCAACCAAAAAACCCTAAACCCTAAACCTAAAAAGGGTCAATCCTTCCACGCTCACACTCGCACAAGGCCATGGGCTGATTGAATGAGATAAACCCCAAACCCCCTCAACAGCCCTTGACCTTCAAGCTGGGCTCCACCAACCCTGAACCCTGAAGCCGCAAGCCTAAACCCTAAACCCTGAACCCTAAATACACCCTAAACCCAAAACCCTAAACCCAAGACCCTGGCCTCCCGCTGTTCCTGGGAACACCTCGCGGTCCGCTCCCGCCAAGTCAGAGAGCGGAGAGGTGCCAATGCTGCTCAAGCTGGATGGACGGAAAACAAGACCTCAAGGGACTAAAGGAGGGGCTTATACTAACAGTCCGCAAAAGGGATTATCGCCTTGAATTTGCATACTATTCCAAGGGCGAAAGGAAGCGTCCATGCCTGGCCTTTGTCTTGTTGGCGACTTAGTGAGATATTTGCACCTCATCGTCAAATTTCACAGTATGTGTTTTTTGTTGCACTTTTCGCCATGCTCAGGTTTAGGGTTTAGGGTTTAGGGTTTAGGGTTGAGGGTCTAGGGGAAGTCGACAGGAAGCGCCATGCGCGGTTCAGAGCCTCCCATGGATTCTCGACGGGTTGACGGGGAAGTTGTCCGTGCCAGAGGGGCTTCGGGTTTAGGGTTTAGGAAACGGGATGATCGAAGGACTAGAAAGGGGGACCTTGATAGAGGGACCTTAGGTGTTGTTTGGGGGTGAATTAGGGGCTGCTTAGGTAACTAAATGGTAACTATTTTCTCAGGACGCCCCCCCCCCCCCCCAAAAAAAAAAACAAATAAATAAAAATAATAATAAATACTCTTCCTTGTACGGTCAACATAGGGACTCTTTTCATTACTTTTCGGGTGGTTCTTAAGCAAATAGCAGCAAACCGACCACAGACATTTAACCCTAAACCTTAAATCCGAAACCCCCAAACCGGCCACAAACCCCATTGCTCGCCTCCCGCCAGCGCGCTGCGGCACCTTCGGAGCGGCGTGGGCGGCTCGAGCTCTGCTCCTGGGCTGCTTCTTCTTCTGGCTGTAGGGTTTAGGGTTTGTGAGTACCCTGGGCCAAAAAAAGGTAACCTTTCAACTATGGTAGGTGTTGTAGATACTACACCAACTGGTAACTAGGGGACTTATAGCTAAGTTAGAATACGCACTTCTAACCCAATGTAGGGCCTTTCTTATTTTAAACACACTAAACCCGAAGCCCTACACCCCCAAGCCCTAAACCCTACCGAAGTATTCCCTATTCAGGTACATGGACCCTAAACCCTAAACCCGATATCTCACCGACGGGACTCGGATTCTCCAGTGGTTCGGCACCGACCGGGTGCGGATGGGACCTGTGCAGCTTTTATTCCCAGGGTTTGGGTTTAGGGTTTAGGGTTTAGGGTTTAGGGCTTAGGGCTTAGGGCTTAGAGCTTAGGGCTTAGGGCTTAGGGCTGAAGGCTGAAGGCTTAGGGCTTAGGGCTAAGGGCTTAGGGCTTGGGGTTTGGGAAGATTCCTTGGGGCTTAGGGGTTGAGAGGGTGTAGGGTTCAGGGGTGCAGCAGGCTCGGGGCTCAGGAGCTTCCAAAGCACACTCCCTAAGCCAGCTTGGGGCAACCCTACACCCTAAACCCTAAAGCCCCTAAACCCTAAACCCTAAACCCTAAACCCTAATGACGCCAAAGTGCTTTCTGGCAACGGGGCAGCCAGCTCGAAGCCCACGGATTTGGCACTCTTCAGCGGGCCGCCTCACTTTTGTTTTCTCTTTGCTCTTGGGCTTTAGGGTCTGTAGGGGTAGGGTTTAGGGTTTAGGGTTTGGGCTTTAGGGCCTGTCGGGGTAGGGTCAAGTCTAAGTAACGCATCCCCGAGTGTGAATGTTGTGGGTGCTGGACAAATTCTGCAACTAATTTTACATAAAAGTGAGAAACTCAAAAAGCAACTAGTCTGACATAATCTGCGAACTGACAACCCTGGTGGGCAGCCTGGCAAGTCGTTCAGGGCAGTGCGGCGAACCTGCTTCATCCTGCCTCATGACACTGCTCAGCTGTGAAGTAGAAGGCCACAGACCCTAAACCCTAAACCCTACACCCGAATTAACTACTCAAGAGCTACTTGCCACGTCGAAGCCCAAAACCTTGTCAAGCCTCTAAGCCCTAAACCCCACCAGACCCAAGACTCACCTAGGGCCTAGGAATCAAAGGGGGGGCCAGGCCAACTCTGGGTCCTAGTAGCCCTAAACCCTAAACCCTAAACCCTAAGCCCTAAACCCTAAACCCTGAAAAACAAAACCGGAATCAGGACCTCCACTGGGTCCTAGCCTATTTGAAGCACAGTCGTTGCCAGGCCTATGTCCGGCGCCAGCAGCTGGAGCTGTGGCATTTCCTGGCTGTGTCGCGACGGTTTGTGTGGGGTTAAACGGTTTCGGGTAAAGGGTTTAAGGTTTAGGGTTTAGGGTTTCGGGTTTAGGGCTAGAAGGTTTCAGAGACCAGCATACCCTGAACACCTGGTTCATTGGGTTGAATATTCTAAGGCCTCATAGCATTGCTACCCTATCTGACCCCTTAGGAAAGGAGGCTGCAAGGGACAAAAGACAAGCCTGAGGTTAAGTGTAAAAGATAAGCTTAAGATCGAAACGAACTCTTCTTTGTAGGTTAGTAAGCCGCTGAAGCCCCCTCTCGGATTCTTAGGTTATCCCTACAGCGATGCAAAGTTTGGGCCTCTTAGGGTAGAGACCCTAAACCCTAAACCCCCAAAAAATGGGCAAACTAGCTGAGGGCTTGAAGCACCTTAGGTTAGCTGGAGTGTTGTAGTAGGGCTTCTGATTCACACTAGGACATGGAATATTGTGAAACCATTCCTGAGCTGTTTCCCTGAACCCTACAAAGCTTGCTCGGGGTTTAGGGCTGAGGGTAGCCTGAAGATTGCTTCTCAATCTTCGCTTGGCGCCCAACAGGGGCCCTAAAGCACGTAAACCCTAGCCTCCCAAAGCCAACCCTAGACCCCAAACCCCCAACGCCCTAAACCCTAAACCGTAAACCCTAAACCCTAAACCCTACGCCCCCCCCCCCCCCCCCCCCTACCCATGCCGTAAAAGCGCAGCCTTAAGCCGGTATCCCAGCTTCCCGTCTGGCGCCAAGGGCAATCCTCATCTCCACAGTTCAGTTCAGGGTTTAGGGTTTAGGGTCTAGGGCTTAGGGCTTAGGGCTTAGGGCTTAGGGCTTAGGGCTTAGGGCTTAGGGCTTAGGGCTTAGGGCTTAGGGCTTAGGGCTTAGGGTTTAGGGTTTAGGGTTTAGGGCATCCTCATCTCCACAAGGGGTCGTTCTCTTCAGGGTCCCTTCCTTCATGTACTTCAGGGTGCTGTACTAGACATAGGACCCAAAACAGGGAGACTTGGAGGTTCAACTGGTCATAACTATACTTAAGGGAACTATGGTCTAACTTTTAACCCAGTTTAGGGTCCTTATAACTCTACTTATAACTACAGGGGCTTCTCCTTGTAGCCCTAACCTCTAAACCCACTTATCGTCTTGGAAATTCTGGCGTAGAAGCCCAGCTGAGTCCTAGGCTCTAGGGTTTGGCGGGGGTGCTTGTAACTTGTATCCTAAACCCTAAGCACTAAACCCGACCAGAGAAGGGCCCGCGTACGTTCTGAGATTGAACTTGCAATCCCATTGTTCTCTGAGATTGAACTTGCATGGCCTTAATTCAGGTTTTCGCCCCAGTCATGAAGTTGACCAAATGCAACTCTAGTCAGCTGAACCCACCCCTAAACCCATCAAACTCTTCTCTCTTGTTTTGCTCTGGGACTCCTAAACCCTAAACCCTAAACTCTAAACCCTAAACCCCAAACCCTAAACCCCTTTGCAAACCCTTGAACCCTTGTGAGCGGAGCATCTCAGCTCTGCCATGGCAGTTCCGTCCATGAGGTCAAGGGCATCGAAGTCGAAACCTGGCAGGGGTTTAGGGTTTAGGGTTTAGGGTTTAGGGTTTAGGGTTTAGGGTTTAGGGTTTAGGGTTTCGGACCTCCGAGCTTAGGGCTTAGGGTTTAGGATGTCCGGGTTTAGGGTTTAGGGCTCAGGGTTTATGGTTTAGTATGTCCGGGTTTAGGGTTTCGTGGTTTGGGGTCTTGCAAGGCTTGGGGGGGTTAGGTTTAAGGCCTGGGAGGCTAGAGGCTTAGGGTCTGGGTCTAGGATTGTCTAGGGTTAAATAACGTTCTAAGACCCCTGAGAGAATCCCAAAATTAGAGGTCCCAATAGTACATACCCCATATATACAATAGTATACAATACTACTCTTTGGGTCGTTCTTAGGAACCCTTAAGGGATCTACTTTTTGGATCCTCCCAAGGGGTCTGGGTCCTAAACCCTAAACCCGAAACCCTAAACCCTGTTGACCACAAGCGCAGCGACGGCCCTTCGTTCATGGCTCACGATGCGGGCCTGGAGACCTCAAGTCTTCAGGCCGCCCTGCCACTTTCGCAAGCACGGTCCCTGCATCAGGATTTTGGGTTAGGGTTTTGTAGGGTTCTTGCAGCAGCTGCGGTTCCTGCAGCAGGCAGGGCGTTCGAAGCCGACGCGAGGCCAGGCACAAGCCGTCCCACTCAACAACAAACCATGCGAAACGCAGGACCTAACACCCAAAACTCCGTCGTCAAACTCTCCACATTCCCTGAGTCTAACACCCCACCCCACCTCATTGGCCCTAAACCCCCCATAGCCCCTGAGCCGCCAGATAGCCCAATTCCCCAAGCACCCCACAAGGACCGTAGACCTTAAACAACAACCCCTAAACCTAAACCCTAAACCCTAAGCCCTAAGCCCTAAGCCCTAAACCCTAAGCCCTAAACCCTAAACCCTAAACCCTAAACCCCAAACCCTACTATACTATAAAAGTTAAGCCCAGGGACCCAAGTCTCCCGCGAGGGACGTGGAGGAGGTCGAGGCCCGGGGGCTTGAAGACACCAGGCCTGGGTCCCTACTCTCCTCTACCATGTTCATGGGCTACCCTGCTACCCCCCTTTTTGGGTTTAGGGTTTGGGTTTAGGGTTTGGGGTTTGGGGTTTGGGGTTTGGGGTTTGGGGTTTAGGGTTTAGGGTTTAGGGGTTTAGGGGGTGTAGGGTTTAGGGCTACTACCCCCGTCTAGACTAGCCCCCCTGAAATAAACCTGAACTAGTCTTAATCATCCTCAAACAGAGGGGTTAGTAGGGGCACCCTTGAAGTATACAATAAATTAGACTATTAGGCTAGACTATTAAACTCTTCTAGTAATACTTGACGATGCTAGACTGGACTAGACGCTGCTATACTATACTATACTATACCATACTATACCATACCATACTATGGTACTCTACACTATATTAGTATATATATATATATGTACTTATATCTATCTTTTTTTCTGAATTAATTCGGGTCCATTTGCTTTGTGACCATCTTGTTGTTCGGGGGCCAAGTGGACAGGCTCTGCGCTGATGTTGGCAGCCCTGTTTAGGGTTTAGGGTTTAGGGTTTCGGGTTAGGGTTTAGAGATGCAAGAACGCCAAGGTGCAATCGTCCGTGCGCTCCGCCACAGCTGGCTCGGCCGACATGTTATGCACGGACATGGCTGCGGATGCTACTGGAGTGGGTTTAGGGTTTAGGCTTTCGCTAGGGTGGACGGTCGTATTTTGAGCAACGCAATCAAGTCTCTAAGCGAGTGGTCCAGACTGGGTTCAGACAGGAACTAACCACCCAAAAACAGTTGACCCAAACCCTACGTCCTAAACCCGTATATAAACCCTAAACCCTGGGGTTGCAGACTCATGAACTGGTGTAGATGGCGGCAAAAGCTCACAACCGCAGCGTTGGCACTTTCTCAAGCAACTTTTTGGGGTTTAGGGTTCAGGGCTTTAGGCCTGGTTGAGTGGATGCAGACCAGAAAAAGGTTTAGGGGTTTAGGACGGGAGGGCTTGGGGTCGAGGGTTTCGAGCGCGCAAAGATGCGCCAAAACCCCGGATGTTGCCCAGAGGCCTGCATAAGAAGTTCAATGACAAAATGCCAGTAGCCTGGCAAAACATAGTAACCATCATATAGGACATATTTCAACCTGTGAATACATACCACTATGTACCCATGGAGTAGCTTCGGGCAGGGTGTTGGAGAAGGGAAGAGTTCCAAGATTTCGGCTTTGGGGTCGCGGGTCTCAGCAATGCTGGAGTCACCGAGTAAACGGCATTGAACCCTAAACCCTAAGGCCTAAACCCTAAACCCTAAACCCTAAACCCACCCCATAAACCCTAAACCCTGTCTTCCAGGCAACTGAATGCCGTCATGCTTCAACGGTGTATAAAGCTAATGCGGGAGCTAATGCGGGTAGTTCTGCACATAATGGGTCCCTCTTGGAGGGTCCTTCCTGTGAGGGTGCCGTACTATATTTATAAGACACAAAAGAGACCCAGAGTTCAAGAACTAACCATATGATGATCTCGAGTCCCGAGAAAGCGGAACCCTAAACCCGAGACCCTAATAAAAACCATGCTGAAACTCCTTAGGACAACTAGCAGCCTTCTACCCTAAACCCTAAACCCTAAACCCTAAACCCTAAACCCTACTGGAGGCCAGCCATGAACTCTGAAACTGGGCAGGCACTGGGGCTGCTCCCTCCCCAGATGAATTCTTCTGAAGGGTCCCGTGTTGGCGTCCGGCTAACCGGGTTTAGGGTTTAGGGTTTAGGGTTTAGGGTTTAGGGTTTAGGGCCCTAAAGCCTAAGCCCTAAGTAAGCCCTAAACCCTAAGCCCCAAGCCCTAAAACCTAAACCGGCAGGTGCGTCCAGGGTGTGTCTTGCCTCGACAGAGGAGCCGTCCAGGAGGCCAACGGACAAAGCCTTGGCAGTTCACAGGGCGAGGGTTTAGGGTTTAGGGTTTAGGGTTTAGGGTTTAGGGTTTAGGGTTTAGGGTTTAGGGTTTAGGGTTTAGGGTTTAGGGTTTAGGGTTTAGGGTCTAGGGTTTAGGGTTTAGGGTTTGGATTTCGGGCCCAGTGGTCAGCCTCGGGCTTGGGAAGACTTACCAGCTGTGTCCCCCTAAACCGTAAACCCAGAACCTTGTTTTGCAGCTGGGCTTGAGGACCCTGAACCCCTTAACCCCTGAACCCCGGAAATCCTGAACTGAACCCTAAACCCTAAACCCTAAACCCTAAACCCTAAACCCTAAACCCTAAACGGCCCTAAACCCTAAACCCTAAACCCTCACTTCTTCGCCCGAAAGCCCTGTAGGACCGGCTCACCGAGGTACCAGGCTTCAGCCGGTGCCAAGAACCTGGGGGCCCCGGGCTTCCCACATCTCAGACAGCTGCTTCTTGGGCCACCTGCTCGGGGGTTTAGGGTTTAGGGTTTAGGGTTTAGTGTGTAAGTTCAGCTTCTTGGGCCACCTGCTCAGGGGTTTAGGGTTTAGTCGCTCACTCTCGCACAAGGCAGGCAAGGTCCGTTGGTCTGAGTAGGGTTTAGGGTTTAGGGTTTAGGGCTTAGGGCTTAGGGCTTAGGGTTTAGAGTTTAGGTTTTAGGGCATAGGGCTGAGGGCTTAGGGCGCCTCGGGTTTTCCGGCGGTCTAGGGTTTAGGGTTTAAGGCTTTCGGGGCAGGGATACCTTGTGACAGTTGAGGAGTCATAGCTGTAATCTTGCTGAGGGGATGCGTGGTGTGAATTGGGGGGGGGAGGGGGGGGGGGGGGGAGGGGGGGGGGGGGGTGAGGGGGGGGGGGGGGGCGGGGGGGAGGGCGGGGGGTGGGGGGGGAAGAGGGGGGGGGGGGCGGGTGGGGTGGGCTTGATACTTCAAGGATCTCGGGATCCCCTACACCCCCCCAAACCCTAAACCCTGAACCCTCAACCCTAATTCTAACACCTCAAACCCTAAACCCTAAACCCTAAAAACCCAAACCCTAACCCCTGAAACCCTACACCCTACACCCCTAAACCCCCGAAACCATACCCTAACCGACATCCAAATCCCCTGAACCCGAAACCCTAAATCCCTAAACCCCTGAACCCTAAACCATAAACCCTGAACCCTGAACCCTAAACCCTGAACCCTGAACCCTAAACCCTAAACCCTAAACCCTAAACCCTAAACCCTAAACCCTAGACCCTAAACCCTAGCCCTAAACCCTAAAAACCCCGGAGCTTGGTAGGGCAACTGGGGCGGAGGCCATGTGAGCACGGCCTCTTCGGGCCTTGGCTTGATGTCTCCTAACCCGACACCCTAAACCCTAAACCCTAGGGTTTAGGGTTTAGGGTTTCGGGTTTAGGGTTTGGGGTCCCCCCTAAGGGCGGGAATGGGTCTTGGGACTGGAGGGGTATCGGGGAAACCTCTAGGGAAGAGTCCGGAATTATCGGGTGGTGTGTTCTCTTTTTCCGCGAGATTGGCTCGTTCAGGTTTGACCGAAAACCGAAACCCTAAGCCCCGAAACCCGCCATTTCTTAACCCTAAAGCCCTAAACCCAAAGCTCATGGCAGGATTGTTTTTTTAACGGGAGGGGGGGGGGGGGGGGGGAGAGCGCCGAACGGTTCAACCCACCGCCAGACAGAAACTCTGAATATGGGGCGCCAGCGTGCAAACACTCTCAACCCTAAATCCTAAACCCTAAACCCCCAACCCTGAACCCTGCTTTGATGAGGCAGCCACACAGAGGTCAGCAGAGATCCGCTCTGAAGGGCAAGCCTGGTGCAAGCACTGGTGCAAGCACGCATGGGAACCCTGAACCCTAAACCCTAAACCCTAAACCCTAAGGTCCCTTAAGGGTTCGGGGTTTAGGGTTGGGGTTGAGGTTTTTGTCTTGCCACCAGGGTTCTTGAATCACTCCCGCCAAGGGTTTAGGGTTTAGGGCTTAGGGCTTGGGGTTCCTTTTATGGCGCCCCTTGCTCAAGCTGGGCTTTGTGAATGCGAGTGGGCTCCCATGCCAATGGTTTAGTATAGGGTTTGGGGTTTAGGGTTTAGGGTTTATGCCTATAGGTGGGGCTTGTAACAGGGGGGGGGTGGGTGAGGGGTAGTTCGTTCGAACCTCTTTTTAACCTTACTGTACTTACAACCTTATATACTTCCAGGGACCTCCTAAAGTAGGGTGACATGAACCTTTACGAACATAATGATTCGGTCCCCGGAAGTATTTAGGGCAACTACAAGCACAGGAAAAGCAGAGATGCCAAAAGCGAGGGAGCACCCCCTGTGCAAGGTCTTACTGCGGGTTTAGGGTTTAGGGTTTATAGGGTTTATAGGGCTTGTAGGGTTTAACGGGTTTATAGGGTTTATCGGGTTTATAGAAGGGTTTATAGGGTTTGGGGTTGCAGCCTCAAGGCACTCAGGATCTGCGAGGCTGCTCACTCCTAAAACTATTTTGCATTCGGGCCATGATGGCCTGGCCTGTTCAACAATTGACCAAACTCCAAAAACCCATGAAAGCCCCAAAAAGACCCTATAAACCCAATCATTTGGGATGTTCGCCCTGATACTAACAATGCTTACCAGGGATTAGAATACCCCCTATTTTTCCATCCCTAGCAAGGACTGTTCGTATAAGGGGGAAGATCCCAACCAACAATTCCCAAACCATAGTTTAGGGTTTAGGGTTTAGGGTTTAGGGTTTAGGGTTTAGGGTTTAGGGTTTCGGTAGGCCCGCCAACAATTGGGGAGCCGGCTCGGTGAGGAAGGCGGCTCGGCCCTCGGAGTTTGCTTGTGGGCTTCGGGGGGGAGGGTTTACAAGGAGGGGTCCCCTTACTATACTGGGGTTTAGGGTTTAGGGTTTAGGGTTTAGGGTTTAGGGTTTAGGCTACTAGCTCTGGTTGAGGGACTTATAACCTCAGTTAGGATCCTGATGATCCCAGTTTAGGGTCCTCAGAACTCTACTTCCAGCTAGGGAGGCCCCCCCTTGCAGGGTTTTTTGGGTTTGGGGTTTAGGCTTCAGGTTCTCGAGGGTTGGGGTTTGTACATCTGTTTGCCGAATGCGGAACGACATGACTTTTATAGGGGACCCCTCTCTGGACACCCAAACCATCGCACAGTCCTGAATATTCCGGCAAAGTTGACTGGGTTTAGGGTTTCGGGTTTAGGGCTTAGGGTTTAGGGTTTAGGGTTTAGGGTGTTGGGGTTTAGGGTTCAGGGTTTAGGAAGTTGGGGTTTGGGGTTTTAGGGGCCGGGGGGCTTGGGGGACTATGGGTTCAAAGTTCAGGGAGCCAACATTACTTTACTTATCAGCCAACTTGAGAATAGCCACTCATGGACCTCACCTCCTCAACCCTGGCACCTTAAACCCAAGGACTTATCACCACCTCCAGGGCTCTCCATGCGCCTAAATAGTACATGCTTGGGGTCTTCGAGGGGTTCCCATATAGTAGCTTTAGGGCCCAAGTCATACTCCCTAAACCCTAAACCCTAAACCCTTATGTCACCATGTCGGTACATGGACCCTTCGGGGCCACACACGGACCAAGGCTTCGAATCTGAGGTTGGTACGGTCAAGCGCGAGGAAGAGCTCCATAGCCTGGCAGGTCCCCGGAACCCCGAAACTTAAAAACTTAGAGGGTTTAGGGTTTAGGGTTCAGGGTTTAGGGTTTAGGGTTACTTCTCCAACAGCCAAGGGAAAAAGTTAAACTGTATGTTTCCTACTAAGTAAGGAAACCCGAAAAGTTTAAAGATCAGGTATTGGCTAAGTAAGTAAACCCGAAACCCCAAACCATTGCAGGGTGTAGGGTTTAGAATGGGTTTGGGGTTTGGGGTTTGGGGTTTGGGGTTTGGGTTTGGCGTTTAGGGTTAGTTTAGGGTTTACCTAAACACCAAGGGCGACCAGGAGGGGCTCTCCCCCACCGGTAGAGTTATCAGGGGGGCCTGAATTTCGATTATCAGCATATGTCGTAGGTTCTAAGTCCCTTAACTACACTCAGTATAGTACAGGGTCTCCCTGTAGGACTTACCCCAAAAGGTGGAAGAAAAAAAATGTTAAAGCTCGAACTCGGTCGTACATGGGGGGGGGGGGGGGGGGGGGGGGGGGGGGGGGGGGGGGGTGCTGGGGAGCCTGTTAGCGCACCTGTCGTTAATCTTCTCACACATTCGACGAACGGACTTCATCAGTCCGTCTACCCTAAACCCTGAACCCTGAACCCTGAACCCTGAACCCTGAACCCTGAACCCTAAACCCTAAACCCTAAACCCTAAACCCTGGGTGAGCCCTGTAAGGTACCCACCTCTGGCTCCACTGGCAGAGCCGCTGCACCTATCTTGCCAGCTCAAAGCTGACTTTGGCAAGGGCAGCTAGGGTTTAGGGTTTAGGGTTTGGGGTTTAGGGTTTGGGGTTTAGGGTTTAGGGTTTAGGGTTTGGGGGTTTAGGGTTTAGGGCTTGGGGTTTAGGGCTCTAGGGTGCCAGGGTTCTAGGGTGCCAGGGTTCTAGGGTTCCAGGGTTTTAGGGTTCTAGGATTTCGGGTTCTAGGGTTCTAGGGTTCTAGGGTTCCAGGGTTCTAAGGTTTCGGGTTCTAGGGTTCTAGGGTTCCAGGGTTCTAGGACTTCGGGTTCTGGGGTTCCTGGGGTTCTACAGTTTTAGGGTTCTAGGGTCCAGGGTTTCGGGTTCTAGGGTTCCAGCATATCGGGTTCCAGGTTTCGTTCAGGGGTTTAAGAGGGTTGGGTTGTGTAGGGTTTTGGTTTCAGATCCTGGGGCCTTTCCTGAGCCAGGCCCGATCCCTGCGGCAGAGCCATCTGAGGCTTGAGGTTGAAAAGGGGGCTTTGGGTTTAGGGTTTAGGGCTTAGGCTACAAGTAGGCCCGCCTGGTTATAAGTAGAGGTATATCTGATCCGAATATTGGGCTATCAGCATTAAAGCTTAGGTTGTAATCCCCTGAAGTCAGTCGAACAAAGGGGCCCTTACTTGTATTGGACCAGCTGCCTGGTCCCTTCATCTGGTTTTTGACCCCCTTAAGACCCCCGAAAACATAAAAGATAATAATCCCTATATTGCCAGGTTAAGGAAGAACTTGATTTCAAATTTGTTTATATATTTATGTATTTATTCTTTTATGTGTGTTTTTTGTTTTGGGGGGGGGGGGGGGGCTTCTCAAGCAATTGGTAGTTATATGGTTTAACTTCATTGAAGGGTTCGCGTACCTGCCCTAAGCCATTGTCCAGACCCTGCAACCTGACAAGTGCCCAAAACCAACCCATTTTTGAGCAACGGACTCGAAGGCTGCCACAGAAGGCCCAAACCCTAAACCCTAAACCCTAAACCCCAAACCCTAAACCCTAAACCCTAAACCCTAAACCCTAAACCCTAAACCCTAAACCCTAAACCCTAAACCCTAAACCCTAAACCCTAACCCTAAACCCTAAATGCCTAAATCCCTAACCTCTGAAGCCCTAAGCCTTGAACTTCCCTGAGGCTTTAATTCGATTTGCAAATCATCCTGCCACCACTATTCTTGGGTTTGGGGTTTAGGGCTAGGGTTTAGGGTTTGGGGTTTAGGGTTTAGGGTTTAGGGTTTAGGGTGTAGGGTGTAGGGTTTAGGGTTTAGGGTTTCGGGTTTAGGGTGTAGTGTTCAGGGTCCAGAATTTCAGGGCTTCTGGACCGAGCCAAGCACGCCCTCGTGGGTGGGATCGGCCGCCTGCTCTCCACAGGGCTGAGGGTTTAGGGCATGGTTGAACGCAGTGGTGTGTCGGTAGAAAAAGGCAACGAGACAGGCACACTAACATACAAGCTACATACCCCAGACTCCGAATACCGGGTGCGCTGCTGGAACAGGCCGTGGCGCGCGCAGGCGGCTGGCAGCAAGCCGCGCGTGGGCCTTGGGTGATAGGCAACTACACAGTCCAACAGAGCATATAGGCACTAGAAACACGACGTGTTTGAAGTTGAGGCAAGATCAGGCAACAGGTGGCGTCGCAGCAGTTGACATACGAAATGGTGTGCGTCATGGGGTATGAAGAAGGAGAACCCTTCGAGACTGGAACTGCGGCCAGCGCAGCAAGAAGGAGAACCCTAAACCCTAAACCCTAAATTAAACGGTTTGCAACAGGCTTCGAAGCCTTTTTGCAGCTGGGTTGTAGACGACGGCCAGGAAAGGAACATACACTCTCTCAACCACGGCAAACACACCCTAAACCCTAAACCGTAAACCCTAAACCCTAAAGCCCACTTCTTTCTCAAGTCCCGGGGGCGACCTCCGCAGATCTGGAAGAAGAGGCCGGCGAAGGCGAGGGCACCTGTTGCTGAGAGACTCCTAAAGCCTTCCACCTGGCGGTCGCCTGACTGACACCGAGGGTTTAGGGTTTAGGGTTTAGGGTTTAGGGTTTAGGGCTTCATGTTTTGTGGCAAGGTGGAAGCCATGATGCTGCCTCTTAGAGGCAGCAGGGCGGCGGTTCTTAAAATGACATTATTTCGATATGTGCAGGGGCTCAGCTTGAACTGGTACCGCAAGCTGGCCACAAACCGTTAAAGATGGAAGCTGAGCTCTTAGGAGCTGCGTAGCTTGACCTCCATTGCGGAGCCTGGCCTTGGTATTGCTGAGTTCATAAGCCCCCAAACAAGTGTTACACGCTCAGTTCTATTGTGGATTAGAGTATCCCAAAAAAAGTGAAAGTTGTACTCATTCAGCCACTAAGTGGCAAGAACTAGCATGGTGTTGGACTCCTTGCTACCACAGCCGCCGCCGACGACGGTCGCGAAGCTGGGCAGTGTCCATCTACCACAGTCACTGCCAGTTCGAATGTCTTTCGCCTGAAGGAAGCCGCCTTCGTAGAAGATCAACAGCCGCTCGTCCACTAGGTCCAAGGCTAAGACGCCCACGGATTCCTGGATGTCCCAAAGCGGCTGCCAACCACGTCTCTCAACAGACCACCCATACCTTGTGGACTGAAAGTCCCCTAAAAGGATGCCCCTTAGTAATACTAGCTAATGGTAGGGTTTGTAGGGCTTTAGGGTTTAGGGTGTACAGGGTTTAGAGTTTAGGGTTTAGGGTGCATACAATTAAGGGCCTTTTTGCTCTACTAACTTTAGTAGAGGGACTTAATTAGAACCTAAGTTATGACACTCATAAGCCCAGTTTAGGGCCCTTATGGCCTCCTTACAACTAGGGGGACCCTACTTGTAACATGTAGTCGTCCAGGGTGTGTTAAATAAAGAAATAAATAAACAAAAATAAATAAAATAAATAAATATAAATATAAATAAATAAACATATATATATATATATAATTGTAAATATATATATATATATATATTTATATTCATATGCTACCCAAACGTAGGGTTCTTTTCGTCCCCAAGGTACTCGAGAATGAGCTTGTCCCGCAGCGTCGCAATCAGAGTTCCAAGAGCGGTGCTTTCTTTGTTTGCCATGTCTCCTTGGTAGTCCAGCAGCCTAAAGACCAAACCTTATACAACCCTAAACCCTAAACCCTAAACGCTAAACCCTAAACCCTAGACCCTAGACCCTAAACCCTAAACCTACAGCCTATAAACCTTATAAACCCTACAGACCCTAAAACCTAAACCCATATCATACTAAATTTGCCCCTCTTGTGGACACTTCTGTCATTGGACACTTAAAAAGAGTATAACTGGGCCTTTCATTCAACTCCTTTTTTTGAGCTCGGAAACCGTCGGGGCCCCCTAGCCCTAAACTGGGTTAATTCGTATGATAACTCCGGCTCCAAGTCCCTTACCTATAGCTCGCAAAACAACAGTGCACTGAGTTGTATACACTCTAAAACCTAAACTCTAAATTAACCCTATACGCCCAGAACCCTAAGCCCTAAAGCCCTACAGACCCTGCCAAGTCGCTACTCGTGGCAATGCGCTTGGCTTCGCCACTCGATTGCAGGAGTGGGCTTTTCAGCCCAGTGCTGCAGTCTACCACCATCCTTGGCGTTCTTCTTTCCAGGGTTTCGGGTTTAGGGTTTAGGGTCAGTTGGGGTTTAGGGTTTTGGGGTTTAGGGCTAAGAACTGAATGTCTTTAGGGTCAAGGGTTCGGGGTATATGGGTTGTAGGTACAGGGACTCGGGCAACCATAGAACTTTCTGAAAAATCGGTCCAAATCAACCCCAGCAACGACGGAGAGCCATGCACAAGGACGATTGGCCAGCATTTCCTTAGTTGCGGAGTTCGTAAGCCCCCCAAAATCCTAACCCTAAACCCTGAACCCTGAACCCTAAGCCCTAGTGTAGACTCTCAGTTCTATAGGGGATTCGAGCATCCCAAAACAGTGTAAAGTCTACTCATGTCAGCTACGAAGTTTCGTCTCGTCGCAGGTGGCAGAGATGTCGGAGATGGTCCCATTCAGCGGACAGGGGTACCTAGTTCATAATTGGGATAGTACTTAAAAAATAAGTGCTTATTCCTTATTGGGTTTAAGTACCCTTACAAATGTAAAATGTTGCCCAACTATGACAAAGGCACACGCCCACCTCCGAGTTGTTTCTTGTCAACTCGTATACTCGGTACCGATCCGCGATGAACACCTGCTTCCGTGGGCACACGAGGGCATGCGGACTCCAGAATGGGCTCCTTGGCTGACCCTAAACCCTAAACCCTAAACCCCCTAAACCCCCTAAACCCTAAGCCCTAAACCCTAAACCCAAGGCTCGGTGAGGCCATCTGTGTTGTAGAGACGTCGAGCAGGGGTGGCCCATCTTGCCACATCCACACCGCAGCCTTGCGGACAAAAATGAACCCTAAAATTGGGCCCATATACCCTCTACTACTATAATCCCTATGTAGGAATTTAAACTACTATAATCCCCGGCCCATCAAGGTATATAATCCCTACTTAGTAGGATACATCTACTACTATAATCCCGATTAAGGCATTTGAACCATAACCCCCTTTTAAGACTCATTTGGTTTTTTTAAGGAGCCTTGCGGTTTCGGAAGTCCATGCCGTAAAAGGCGCCATGGAGGGCCCAGAGCAGCGCAAAGAGCCAGAACAAGGCAATCACCACGGTTCCGAACCAAAGCATGACACCTTAAGGACCACATGCACCTTAAAAGGGCTTATGGTTCATGCTACCTCAGCAGAGGGTATAGGGCCCCAGTTTTAGGGTTCATTTGGTCCCCAAGACACCTGCCATTTTGGCAGTGCTGTCCTGGTCTTTCGGTTTGCTCGGTCGGGGACCGCGCTCGTAGTGGTCTTCCTCCACTCCCAGCTCCAGGCGTTCCTCGGAACCTTAGTTGCTGAGTTCCTAAGCCACCAAAAAAAGGTGTACACTTTCGGTTCTCTAGGGGAGTCTGGTATCCCAAAAAGCGTAAAGTGTACTCACTCAGCCACTAAGGAGCTGTCCTCCGACTCTGGGTCGGCTTGCCGCTTACCTTCGTGGTCCAGAAACCAGATGAAGCACATGTTCACCACTGCGTGCGTGGCGTAGCACGTTGGTATCAGAAACCGATCCAACATCTCAAACGCGGTGGCAGCTGCAATCACGCACCAGAGCGGACCTGAAGCCACAACGAATGCCACGATGAATGGGCGATGTCGCACCATTCGGGTGATGGCGCCATCACTTCTGGAATCGTCGCTTTGCTTACCTTGGAGAACACAACTTACCCGAACATGGGGATCTACCCTAAACCCTAAACCCTAAACCCTATTTAAACCCTAAACCCTACACTACCATAATCCCTACTAAGGCAGAAGAACCAGATTTCAGGCGTTCATTTGGTCCCCAAGGTACTGGGCCCGAACTTGCGCAGCAGAAACCACACCACCATGAGGTTGATGACAGAGAACAGGATCTGTACCGCCCAGAATGCCCAAGCCTTTTAGGGTTTAGGGTTTAGGGTTTAGGGTACAAGGACCAAGTATGAACCTTAAAAGGGTGTATGGTTCATACTACCTTAATAGGGATTAGAGTAGTAGAGGGTATAGGGACCCAGTTTTAGGGTTCATGTGGCCCCCAAGGAGCTTCAGCGTAGCCACCATAGAGCGTGCCCACTGCAAGATAGCCACAGGCTTCCACCAAATTCGTGGTGCCACGTGCCACACTTCGAAACATGCAGTCGCAGCATTTCTGCCATTCGTGCTCTGAATTCCTTGGCTCGGTAACCATCTTGAATCCTAAACCCTAAACCCTAAACCCTAAGCCCTAAGCCCTAAACCCTAAACCCTAAGCCCTAAACCCTAAACCCTAAACCCTAAGCCCTTTTTTGGGCCGGTTACTTTTACAAGGGAACCCAGAACCCAAAAAGGGCGCAAAAGGGCACCAATGGGATAGCAAGCCCTATAAACCCCCTGAACCCACCCACCCACCCCAAGCCCTAAAATACCCTGCTGGGTTTAGGGTTTAGGGTTTAGGGTTTAACAAGGACGCCCTGTTCAGGCAAGAACTGCGTCCAAGATTCTGCCAAAACGCAACGTACCATTGCACAGGCCACTTGCGTTTGGCCCTCTCCAGATTCCGCAGCTCATCCTCAGACTCCTCCATGTCCTTACTTAGTTGCTGATCAGGGTTTAGGGTTTAGGGTCTAGGGTTTAGGGTCTCGAGTTCATAAGCCTCAACGAAGTGTACACTTTCAGTTCTATAGGGGATTCTGGTATCCCAAAAAAGTGTAAAGTGTACTCATTCAGCTGCTCAGCTCAGTTGTCCAGTATAGGGTTCAGGGTCTATGTGTACGGCTTAGGGTTTAGAATGCCCCCGATACTTGGAGGTTCATGGTACTTATGAACCAATTATGACTGTACTTAGTTCTAGGTATAATTGGTGAAGAAGTACCATGAACCTCCAAGTAAAGTAAAGGTCATCTACCCCTAATCCTAAGGGTCTACCTATTTATTATGCACTTGGGCCGCACAGTCCCTATATAGCAAGTACTTTAAGGCCCAAGTATTCCCTGTTTAGGTACATGGACCCTTAGCGTACTCTACTACAAGGAGGGACCCCCTTACTATACTAACTATAGTTAAGGGACTTATAACCTAAGTTGGAATCCTTATAACCCAAGTTTAAGTTAGGGTCCTTATAGCTCTACTTATAACTACGGGGCCCCTCCTTGTACTAAGAGTCTTCCTCATCAACCATGGCTTGGTCGAGGGCCCTGGACTCTGAATCTGCTTTCCAGCGTGACCGGAAAGACTCCGCGGGCTTGCGCTTGGCGGACACATCTGGAGAAAGGCCATCCTCGAAGGAGTAGACCCTCTCAAACTTGCGGCGCGAGTGGTTGCTCAAGCTCTGCGTCACCTTCGTGGGTGCCGCAGCAGCAGCAGCAGATGGGCTGCTAGGGGTCTTTCGCTGGAAGGCTTTCCACATTCGGCCAGCTAGGGGCGGCATCATCATATCACCGATCGGCTTCGACTCGAAGCAAGCAGTGTTTTCATGCGCTTGTCGTTGCCGCAGCTGATGAAAATGCTGCTTCCAACCTCTTAGGGACCAAGGGAACCTTAAAGGGTTTCGGGTTCATATTACCTTAATAGCGATTGTAGTAGTATAGGGAAGAAGGCCCCCGAGGTTAGGGTTCATCTGGTCCCCAAGGAACGTGGACGAATGTAGCGGACAAGGAGTCGGGCGGCTTTCTTGTAGGCAATGTTGCTGGCAATGATTCCTGCAAGAATGGACAGCGTGAGGTAGAACACCGCGCTGCCCAAGCACAGCATGTAAGCATTCAGCACGAAAGGGGGGCAGTCGGTGGGAATCTGCCCCTCGAAGAGCATTTCTCCGGCCAGGGATAGAATCAATGTCGCGACCAAAAGGGAACTGTTGATCCGATTGATGTCGGAATTCACCAAATCTCGAACCTCATCTCTCCGCATTGACTGCATTTGGATTTGTAGGTTGTCTTTCTGGTAGTGATGCGCCTGCTCGACTTGTATATCAGTCATCCAGGCATCACGGTTGTACGAGTACACACCCGAGGCCCAGTTGTAGATGCCTGCGAAGGCAGCGCCCACGATAAGAGCGGAAACCATGGCTCTCTGGAACCGTCAATGCAAAGAACCGGGTTGTGGGTCAAAAGGCACTTACATGCAACCTGCCTGTGCAATTCTGTGGCAATTCTGTGGCTGTGTATAGACTGCGCTCTGAATCTTGGCAGCAACTAACCCTAAGGGTCCATGTACCTAAATAGGGAATACTTGGGCCTCAAAGTATTTGCGAGAAGGGACTTTGGGGACCAAGTGTATAATAATTAGGTACCTGGACCCTTAGGGCAACCTATACTACTATAATTCTTATGAAGGTATATGAAACCATAAACCCTTTTAGGGTTCTTTTCTGTCCCAAGGAATTAGTGTGCAAGTTGTAAGGTGGGTGCAGTCTGATGGGTTTTGGGGTTCAGAACCCTGGCTGTCGCGATGCTGCGGCACCAAGAGAATAAGCCGTCCTACCCCTTAACACCATCCTGAGCCTATCGCCCCTATAAGTAAGGGCCCTTTTGCTATGGTTTAGGGTTTGGGGTTAGGGTGACTAAGTGCAGTGAAAGGACTCATGACCTAAGGTATGATACTCATAGCCCAGTTTAGGGGCCCTTAGAACTCTACTGATAGCCAGGGGGACCCTGGGAATCCCTTGCTACACTGTACGTCAAAGGCTGAAGTTATCAAACGTAGAAATTAAGCGACCCCTCCGCAAAGGGGTTTAGGGCTTAGGGATATCATGACCCACATTCGGTGGCATCGCCACGCTTCGGGTACCGCTGAGTCTGCATCGTAGGCTTCTGTGGAGGGAGAGGTCGATGCAACTAGCAAGCCACCGACCAGCCTCTTCGGCGCATATCTCTGGAATGGCAACCTCCGGCAAATAGACCTGGTTCATCCGAAAGGGCTATTGGCAGTTTGTTCAGCCCTAACCTCATGGATGAGTGTGGTTGAATTTCAGACACGCAATTATGCACTGGCTCAACTGCATCGACTTGTCAGAACCCGCAACGAAGCTGGGCCCTAAACCCTAAACCCTAGACCCTAAACCCTAAACCCTAAACCCTGAACCCTAAACCTTAACCCTAAACCCTAAACCCTAAACATGCGACTCGGCTCAGGACGGCAGCATCGAGCGCCACTTCGGCCAACATCATGGAGCACTGACGCCAGACCTGTCATCCCTAAGGGGTCCATGTACCTAAAATAGGGAATACTTGGGCCTCAAAGTACCGGCTATATAGGGAAATCCCTAAGGGGTCCATGTACCTAAAATAGGGAATACTTGGGCCTCAAAGTACCTGCTATATAGGGAAATCCCTAAGGGTCCATGTACCTAAACAGGGAATACTTGGGCCTCAAAATACTGGCTAATTAGAGACTTTCGGGCCCAAGTGTATAAGAATTAGGTGCATGGACCCATAGGGTGAAGCGAGAAGCTAAAGCCAATGATGTCGAACGCATCTGTAGGCTCGCGCATTCGCATCAGAAACTCAAGGGGGTTAGGGTTTAGGGTTTAGGGTTTAGGGTTTAGGGTTTAGGGTTTAGGGTTTAGGGTTTAGGGTTTAGGGTTCTTGGTGTCAGCAGAATGGGCTCAGAAGGATCCAATCTCAGGTTCTATGTCCCCTTACTTAATGTTGGTACAGTAAGGGCGCCCCTCCTTGTAAAGGCTAGTCCCGGCCTTGCAGCCTTCCGCTTTTCGACGTCAGACTTCCCGCCCCCCTCCAGACCCTAAACCCTAAACCCTAAACCCTAAACCCTAAACCGTAAACCCTAAACCCTAAACCCTAAACCCTAAAGGTTGCTAGAGGAAACCCAGGGTTTCCGTGCCCAGACGTTATCAGACATTTGTCCTTTGGGGCTGTCTCAAAAGAGTCATTCCCCCCCCCCCCCCCCCTAAGCATGCACCCCTAAGAGGTTCCCTCAACATACTCCTAATCTTCCCTCAGAGAATCTTCAAAAACCCTGCACCCTAAACCCAAACTTGCCCTAAACTCTAAACCCAAGGGTGCAAACTTAGGGGCCCAAGGCAAAATGCCATGGGCAGTAGCCTACAAAGGCTTCATTTGCCAAAGCCCTAAAGCTTCAGAGCTGCGGGCTGCAGCCTTAGGGCTTAGGGCGGTTTAGGGTTTAGGGTTTAGGGTTTAGGGTTTAGGGTTTAGGGCTTTAAGCTTCAGATCTTATAGCGGAGGGGGGAGGAGAGGGATTCTTTTGGTTCCGGACCCTAAACCCTAAACCCTAAACCCTAAGCCCTAAACCCTAAACCCTAAACCCTAAACCCTGGAAGGATCCAAAAAGTAGAACCCCCAAATAGAACTCCATACTACTCTTGGGTCATGTTCAGGAACCCTTAAGGGGATCTTCTTTTTGGAGCCTCCCAGGGGTCTGGGGAAAGCCTAAACCCTAAACCCTAAACCCTAAACCCTAAACCCTAAACCCTAAACCCTAAACCCTGAGCCCTGAACCCTGAACCCTGAACCCTAAACCCTAAACCCTAAACCCTAAACCCTAAACCCTAAACCCTAAACCCTAAACCCTAAACCCAAAACCCAACTCATCGTAACGCAGGCGCCATGCTCTGCATCGCTAGGTATCCATCCTTGGGGACCAGTTGAACTTTTTAAACCCTGAATCCAGAACCTAAACCCTAAACCCTAAGCCCTAAACCCTAAACCCTAAACCCTAAACCCTAAACCCTTTTGGGTTCATGTGGCCCTTACGGATGCACCAAGTGTGCCGGGCCTCTGGTGACTCGCTCAGCTGGGTCTCCTCCAGGCCTGAGCGACAGAGGGGGGGGGGGGGGGGGGCCGGGGGGGGAGGCGTAAAAAGAAAGTGTAGGGGGGGGGGGGGTTTAGGGTTTAGGGTTAGGGTTTAGGGTTTAGGGTTTAGGGTTTAGGGTTTAGGGTTTAGGGTTTAGGGTTTAGGGTTTAGGGTTTAGGGTTTAGGGTTTAGGGCTAGGGTTTAGGGTTTAGGTCTCCTCTGCCGAATAAGGGGATCCTGGAGAATCCGAGGTCCGACACATAACTTTAAGGTTTCCACCCAAGGAACTCCTGGTCCGAACCTAGCTTGGGGTTTAGGGTTTAGGGTTTAGGGTTTAGGGTTTAGGGTCTAGGGTCTAGGGTTTAGGGTTTAGGGTTTAGGGTTAGGGTTAGGGGTTTAAGGTTTAGGGTAGTTTAGGATTTTGGGTTTAGGGCTCTGATGTCCTGGCCAGAAAGGCTCAGCAAAACTCCCCATAAACCCAGAAGCCTAGACGCTAAAACCCTAAACCCTAAACCCTAAACCCCAAACCCTAAACCCTAAACCCTAAACCCTAAACCCTAAACCCTAAACCCCCCCCCTCTCCCCACCCAACCGAGTCTTCCGTTCATTCTTTGCCGACCCTCAGGGCGGTCATGCGGTCAACTCAGGTCCCAAGTCCTTTCAAAGAAAGGTCCTAAACCCTAAACCCTAAACCCTAAACCCTAAACCCTAGGGTTGAGGGATCTCTGGGCTCAGGGCTTCTTTTTGTTTTGCAACTGCAGGACTGCCAGGTGTAGAAGCAAAGCCTGCTTTATGTCCATCGGCTCTTCCCCTGAAGCCCACTTTGTAACTTTTCTAGACAATTCTCACCCCAAACCCTAAACCCTAAACCCTAAACCCTCAACCCTAAACCCCAAAACCCCAAAACCTAAACCCTAAACCCTAAACCCCAACCCCTAAACCCTTTTTTTCTAGGACCTTTCACCCTAAACCCCTAAACATCACAAAGAACAGTAGGTTTGGGTTCTTAAGGAAAGTTCTCAGCACTGACATTGCCGAGGAGGCGGCCCCACACCGCAACCTCCAACACCTCCGGCTGTGAGGGTTTAGGGTTTAGGGTGCAGGGTTTTGGGTTTAGACGATTCTTTCGGCGACTTAGATTTTCGGGCCTCACACGTTCAGGGTTTCAGCAGGGTTGAGGGTCCCCCCCCCCCCCCCCCTTTTGTACAGGAGTCATGGGTTTAGGGTTTAGGCTGTACTCCCAAAAGAATCAGGGTAGGTAGGGTGATCGTAAATCTGCTCCGTCACCAAAGTTGACCGAGTGTCTAGACCCAAGAGTAGCCTAAGAATATAAAGGGCACCTTCTTGGTTTTTACAGAGCTTGGAAGGGAACCTAAACTTTAAGGAAAGGGAAGAAGGGCCTACTATGGGTGCTAGGTGTCTCTGAAACCACTCCGCCCCCTATGCCACCCAGAGCACCACCCACCCCACCCCTAGTCGCAGTTTCTTGTTTGGGTATCTTCCTGCTTACAATTAGCACAACATAGCGTACAGCAACGCAAAACCCTGAGGGTCCATGTAACTATATCGTGTATGCTTGGGCCCTAAAGCTATTATATGGGACCCTTTGTTATGCTCAAGTGTATCCTATATAAGTACATTGGACTTTTAGGGAAACATACGCAAAAAAAAAAAATCTGGGCTTTACTCGCAGGTATGCAGAAGGGTATACAGAAAGGTATGGCCATGTATTTGGCTGCCCAGGAACCTCCTAAGCCTTGACAGGTTTAGGGCTTAGGGTGCCCTAAACCCTAAACCCTAAACCCTACACATATATATATATATATACCCTAAACCCTAAACCCTAAACCCTGTTGACGGGAGCTCGCGCCTTGCCGAACCCCGGAGTCGCCTGCCAGTCTTGGAGCTCCTGGAGACCTTGGCGTCCGGGCGTCCGGGTTGGCCAAGTGGCCTTTCGAAATGCTCTTAGGGTTTAGGGTTTAGGGTTTAGGGTTTAGGGTTTAGGGTTTAGGGTTTACCCACCCACGCAAGGAAGGGTTGAGGGTTTAGGGTTGTTTTCGCCACCCGCCTAGCTGAGGCCAGAGGGTTTAGGGTTTGGGGTTTAGGGCTAGGGCTTAGGGAAGTGCAAGGAGTGGCTGCAAGTTAAAGGCAGAGCGACAAAGGGCCCCCAAAGTGGGCTTCAAGCCGTCAACCTTCGGTGGTAAGCCCCTTGAAGAAAGTCAGTATAGTTATACAACGCCGCCTCTAAACCCTAAACCCTAAACCCTAAACCCTAAACCCTAAACCCTGAACCCTAAATCCCTAAATCCTTAAACCGCAGGGGTACACTCAGGCTCCTGCTTAAGGGGACATCCTGCAAGACTCCGGCTTTTGGAAGGGAGGGGCCGGAATTGCAGCTTCGACGTTGAAGGTTTCTGGCTGGGACGTGTGTTCTTTTGGTTGTTGTTGTTGTTTCTTTTGTTAGGGGGGGCCCCCTAAACCCTAAACCCTAAACCCTAAACCCTAAACCCTAAACCCTGGGACTGGGCAGCTGATGATCCTTGGACCTTTTTCCCACGGGCGCTCTCGAACATCCTGCACTTCGCACATCTACCGGTAATCGAGCAAAAGACAGGAACCCTAAACCCTAAACCCTAAACCCTAAACCCTAAACCCTAAACCCTAAACCCTAAACCCTAAACCCTAAACCCTAAACCCTAAACCCTAAACCCTAAACCCTAACCCTAAACCCCAGCTTCTAAGCCGAGGGCTCGGTCTTCTCCCAAGGTTTCTTGGGCCGCGAAACCTGCGACTCCTTTGGCTCCCGGGGCTTCGCCACCTTGTCATCGACCTCGAGGATGCCTGGGAGTGAACGGCCTTGGGCAACCATCGGTTTAGGGTTTAGAAGGGTTTAGGGTTTAGGGTTTAGGGTTTAGGGTTTAGGCTTTAGGGTTTAGGCTTTAGGGGAACGGCCTTGGGCAACCATCTCAGACACCTGCTGGAAGGTCATGGCTTCCGGGTCCATCCTTGCGGGCCACATGAAGTAGGGCTTATATTTCTTGTATCCCCAAAACTAGTTCATGGTTGGGATAGTATTAAAATTTTAAAATTATATTCCTTATTGGGTTTAAGTACCCTTAAAAATGTAAAATGCTACCCAACTACGACAAAGAAAAGGACACCACAAATATACACTGTATGAAAAAGGAACCTTAGATACACTCACCAAAGACAGAAATACATACCCTGCTTCACATGAACCAAAGAAGGGTTCTGGTATGTTCTGGTTCATATACCTCAATGTAGGGAGTATAGTGGTACCAGGGTATCTGATCCCAGTTTTCGGGCCCATTTGGTCTCCAAGGGACGCCATGTCCGCCGCCCGCTGTACCTCCTCAAGGCTGCCTTTGAGGCTCGGCGTCTCCTCCGGCCCGCGCCACTGGAGGACTGCCCCGGTCCTTATGAGGACGACATGAAACCAAAAAAGGGCTTTACGGTTCATATTGCCTTTAGAGGGATTATAGCGGTAGAGGGTCCACTACTGGTAAAAAAGAGTTTCGGGCTCATATTGCCTTAAGAGGGATTATAGTGGCATAGGTATATGCCCCCCCCCCCCCCCCCCCAAACCCTAAACCCTAAATAAACCCTAAACCCTCCCAAGGGTCTCCATCTGGCGCTCCTCAAAGCCGGCGGACTCGAAGACGAAGAAGAGGTCAACGCCGACGGCACGCTCCAGCACATCTCGCCGCATGGAGTAGAGCTTCACGTTGGAGGTGTCCTCCTTGGTGGATTTAGGGTTTAGGGTTTAGGGTTTAGGCTTTAGGGTTTAGGGTTTTGGGTTTAGGGTTTAGGGTTCAGGCATGGCCCCTTTCCTATACTAAGTGTAGCTGAGGGACTTATAAACTAAGTGAAGATCCTGAAAATTAACCCAATTTAGGGCTCTTATAACTCTACCTATACCTAGGGGGCCCCTCCTTGGTAGCCCAGTAGCCATACTACAGGAAGGACCCACCCTTTTTTGGGTTGGCTACGTTAGAAGGGAAGCTTGAACCCCCTCAAAAAAAGGGGAAAGGGGATACCAATGGGTTACCAAGCCTCTGACAACTTTCGAAGGATCTTCGCCGCATTTGCCAGCTCCTGCTGCCTCGGCCCACCGTCATCCGCGGGCTTCAGCTCACGCAGGCGAGCCCGGAGGGCAGACTGCGCCTCACTCGCTTCGCCCGAGCCTGCGGAATCGGCCGGCTTCTCCGCACCACCGGGGCTGCTGGAGGGGCCCTCGGCTTTGGTGCTCACCACGGGGCGCTGGTCGCCCTCCTGGCCGGGAAGCTCCGCCGCGCCCGCTGTGGCGGAGTAGCCGCCCGTGGACATGGCGAACCTCCTAGCGCACGACTGGCTTGTGTTTTTGTTGTGGCAGAGCTCACTTTGGCAGGGCCGGGCTGGAACCTGAAGTTCATATGTTAGCTGCAATCTTGTAGGGTTTGAAGCCACCTTGGTGCTCTGGACAACCTTGGTGCTCTGGACAGAAAGCGACGGTGAGAGCAAATCCACGCCATGCCCCGTATACAATATATATATATATATATATTCATATCATGCTACTGCATGAGAAGTTCGTCCTGATGCTAGCTGCAAATGACCTCAAGCATTGCACCCCTATGTGCTGAGGCCGCATGCAGGGAAGCAGCACCTGCGCCAGGCGCGCGGGCGACCAGCTACGATAGGTAGATAGCCAGACAGGAACGATTGGTGTATATGCATGCGTGCGTGCAGGAGTTTGCGTCTGTGTGTCTCTGTGTCTGTGTGTCTGCATGTCTGCGTGTCTGTGTGTCTGTGTGTCTATGTGTGCGTGTGTGCGTGTCTCTGTGTGCCTCTGCATGTCTCTTCGCGTCTCTGTGCACAAAAAGCTGAAAAGAACGACAGATGCTTCTGCCACCTTTCCTTTGCAACTCTCCCACGGAGCCCCCGACATTAAATCTGCTGTCATTCCATACGAGCTTTGCGAACCGAAAACCTCCACCAACAAAACCCCACATGGTAACAAGCCCTTAAAACCTTCATTCGCTGAACCCTAAACCCTTTAACCCTATGACCCTCTAACTCTATAACCCTAAAACCCTAAAACCCTAAAATCCTAAAGCCCTAAAACCCAAAAAACCCTAAAACCCTAAAAGCCTCAAAGCCTAAAACCCTGAACCCACGCCTGGAACTCTTGAGGGGGCAGGAGGCACAACGCCCAGAGCGTGCGCTGGAACTCCGCAGAGAACTGCCGAGGGTCCTGGGCCATCACTTGGGCTTTGGTCTAGGGCTTAGGGTTTCGGGTCTAGGGGGTCCGCATAACCACGTGTTCTTCGTTTGCATGGTTTAAGTGACCAGGGAGGATGCTTTAAAGGACTTCCGGGTACCAATGCATAGGTCTATATTCTCTGGCTGCAATAATACCCAACCGAGTTCTTTCTTCGAACCCAGGCCGTTAGAAGGATCCAAACTGTAGAGCCCCCCCCCCCCCCAAAAAAAAACAAAAAAAAAAGAGTAGTACCCTCTACGACTACTGGGTCATGCTTAGGAACCCTTAAGAAGATCTACACTTTGGATCTTCTCAGGGGTCTGGGAACATCGGGCTGCCAGGACTTCGGAATGTTGTGCACAGTGCCGGCCTCCACCTGGAATGCGGCCACCACACGCGCAAGCATGGGCAGCTCCTGCTGAGCGCAAGCCCTAAACCCTTAACCCCAAACCCTAAACCCTTGACCCTACACTTTGCCTACCTAAACCCTTTTGACACCCGAACCCTAAACCCTGAACCCTGAACCCTAAACTTGCCACTGGACTGAGGCCGAGCCAGTAAACCCTAAACCCTGTAAACCCCAAACCCCAAACCCCAAACCCCAAACCCTAAACCCTAAACCCTAAACCCCAAACCCCAAACTTCGGTGTGGGCGTTATACTCCTGAATCGTATATAACGTTTAGGGTTTAGGGTTTAGGGTTTAGGGTTTAGGGTTGGGTCACCCTAAGGGCCCATGAACCTAAATAGGGCATAGAAAAGTAGAGTTAGAAGGACCCGAAATTTTTGGGCTCTAAGCATCCTAACTTAGGCTACAAGTGCCAAGCACATCAAGCATACGGCATTGGAACCCCTAAACCCTAACCCCTAACCCCTAAACCCTAAACCCTAAACCCTAAACCCTAAACCCTAACCCCTAAACCCTAAACCCTAAGCCGAAGCTCTCGAGGCTACTCTGCATGCCAACCTTCACAGCTTCTACGCCATGTCACGTCAAGACCCTCCACCCTAAACCCTAAACCCTAAACCCTAACCACGGACTGAGGGGAACGTCTACCACCCCAATTCATCAAACCTTATAAACCCTGTAAGCCGTGAAGCCTGAAAACATTGGAACCCCTTATAAACCCGAAATGAGCATATGACTTCTATACACTCTACAAACCCTATAAGCCCTGTCGACCCTATAAACCCCATAAACCCTTTTTGTGCTTGAAATTCCCCTTTTTCTAGCAGCCCTAAACCCTAAACCAGAGAACGTCCTTCTGGCCACTGGACTGACAGGCTAGCACGAAAAAAGTCCAAAACCCGAAACCCACAAACCCTAAAACCTAAAACCCTCAAACCCACAAACCTTAAAGCCCTAAACCCTAAACTAAACCTTATAAACCCCAAACCCTAAACCCTAAACCCCTAAAGCCCAAAGCCCTAAAACCCTAAACCCCTCAAGGCTGCCTTATAAACCCAAAACCCTAAAGCCCTAAAGCCCTAAAGCCCTAAAGCCCTAAAGCCCTAAAACCCTCAAGTCCTACACTAAACCTTATAAACCCAGAACCCAAAAAAAACCCAAAACCCCAAAGCCCTATACCCCTCAAGGCTGTCGTCCTTGGGAGGCGTGGCCAAATCACGCGGGAGATCGCTCAAGAAGTCGAAGGCATCCTCCCGCTTGGCTGTACTGGGAGGTTCATGGTACTTAGGGTTTAGGGTTTAGGGTTTGGGGTTTAGGGTTTAGGGTTTAGGGTTTGGGGTTTAGGGCTTTGTTGCCACCCACACTGCAGGGATGCAAACGCCCGTCAGTCATGAGCAGTCGGAGAAATGACCACAGGAAAAAAGCTTCAAACGTGATGGGCTTTAGGGTTTTAGGGTTTAGGATGTAGAATGTTAAAGGTTAAGGCTTTAGGATTTTAGGGTTTAGGCGGTTTGGGGCTTTAGGGGTTTAGGGTTTTGCGGTTTCGGCTTCGATTCGGGCTTTCGGGCTTCAGGGTATTGGGAATTTAGGATTTCCCAGCAGGTACAGCAAACCTTGCCCTCGAACCCTGAACATGCTTTAGAACGTACTCATTTCAAAATATTTAAGAAAATGAAGATATAACAATACAACAATATTATATTCATATCAGAAAAGAAACAGGGCAAATATCGGACAAACAGACTTTAATACCATTGGCGCCTGCATCGCCCGGTGCAGCTCTCGCAAGCAGTTGGAGACCTGCGGCGCGATCTGCATGGTGGATTTGGGGGAAAAACAAAGCCACGGGTGACGTCTGGGCAGCGCTCTGAATCAGGGTCCCTTCATGTGGGTTCCCCTATATAGTACGGCACCCTAAAATGAGAAGGGCCCCACCCAAAAAAAGGAATCCAAATTCACAGAGCGGCCGATATGGTTCTACAGGGGTCAGGGACTATCGAGCTTCAAAACTCATCCGAATCAGGCCCTGTATCGTGAGTGCATGAGTGTCGTCGATTTTTGGGTTGGCCTCGTGGCTTGGTTCGTAAGTGGTTTTATGTATGGATAAGCAGCATGTGCACAGTCTAAGAGAGTCGCGATACTCCGTGCATGTGTATGCAGGCTTCGTCGTGCCTTAAGATGTTGGCCATGATAGCAGTCACATGGACGTGTCCTACGACTTCCTTTGTAAAGTAGGCTACGACGAACCAGTGGTGCACGATGCTCACAACAACGCATGGAAAAGATGTCATGGTACAAAGCCAGGACTCCCCAAGTGGCTCATCTTGGTCGTCGCGTGCATTGCCGTCAAGTCTGATAAGAACGAGCACGCTGAGGAAATCAACGTGCTTGAAACTGTCTGCTACCTGGCCAAGCTGGTGGAGCATGGCTGATCACTGCTGAAAGAACAAGCCTTTGTTCTCCATGAAAGTGCTCACATATCGAGTTTATAGCATCCGGGCGGGGGCAACAAAGACCAAGCTACACATCAGCGGGTCTTGTGTCCCACGCGACACTACAGGGAGGAACCCCCCCCCCCCTTCTGTACTACAGTAAAGAACTTAGAACCTATGTTATCGCGCTGACAACGCAACATGTCAGGGTCCTCTAAGTACGAACACCAAGGGGGCCCTCCTTGTAGTTCCGACGACTGCACAGCTGCTACTCGTTGGCTGCATCACGACACGAGGGTGCGTCCGATTTGTTATAAAGGCCGGTGGCCTTTTTATCCGTTGTCCTTGTACACCTTTAACAGAGCCGCTAGATACCCGAATAAGAACCCCCTACAAAACGAAACCCCACTTCAAGAGACCACCAACCAAGATAAAACAAAGTACGTACATTCTCGCGGCGCCTACCTGCACTCAGCCGGGGCTACCCTCAACCATCGGTTTCGAGGGTGGATTTGGGGACCTGCAAGTAAGGGCCCCTCTGTTATACTAACTTTAGTTACGGAACTTAAAGACTTCTAACCTAGGTTCTGATACTCCCGGTTTGGGTCCTTATAACTCTACTCAGAACTAGGCAAAATAAGCAATTTTAGTCTCTCTGGGTTACAGTGGGGTTGCATACTTGGAGGTTCATGGTACTTATTAACCAATCATAACTGTACTTGTAACTGTACTTATAACCATCTTAGGGCACTTAAAAACCTTATCAGTGGGTTATAAGCACAGTTATACTTGGTTATTGAGGGATTTAGGGGTTTGCGGGCTTCTTTGCGGTTTAGGGGCTTTGGATTCCAGGGTTTAAGGGTTTGGGAGCGTTGGGGTTCAGAGTTGGGGGGGTTTCATATCCATGGCTTCACCTGTGGCATCTTGCTTCTCAAACCCTAAACCCTAAACCCTAAACCCTAAACCCTAAACCCTAAACCCTAAACCTGCCTGCACCCTTCTGGGATCTGCTATACCGGACCAAAACGTGCCATGCAGCGCTTGGTATAGACTCTACGACCGGCCGGCGGGCAGCTGCAACCGAAACCTCGAGTATTTTTAACCCTAAACCCTAAACCCTAAACCCTAAACCCTAAACCTCAAGCCCTAAACCCTAAACACAAAAAACACCCATTAATTCAGGCAAGGGACGTATGATGTAAGCTACCATACATTCACCCCAAGTTTGCGCCAGGGCCCTCCTATCTCTACTTTGAACTAAGGGTCTCCCTTCTGTTAACTACACCCTAAACCCTAAACCCTAAACCAACAGGCTGCACACCTGCCCGCCAACTCAGGGTTCGTCTGCCAAAATGTCAAGGGCGCGGCCCTTCTGCCTGCCGCCTTTCGAACCTAAGCGCGGCTGAATGGGACTTATGGGGGGTTGGTTAGGGTTGAGGGTTTAGGGTTTAGGGTTTGGGGTTTGGGGATTGGGGTTTAGGGTTTGGGGTTTGGGGTTTAGGGTTTAGGGGCCTTATGGGGCGTTGGGCTCAGGGGGCTAAGGGTTTAGGGTTCAGGGCCTAAAGGGGGTTAATTATGGGGCTTAGGCCTTCAGACATCTGCGGATTTGGGCAAAATCAGTGCAGAGATCTAGCTAGGCCTTGATTTGCCGGGAGAAGATGCCAACTCAGAACAAGGACTCACATCCCTTCATTCGGGAAGATGCCTTGAGGAAGCAGCCAGAGGTTGAAGGTCGATTCCTTTTAGGGTTTAGGGTTTAGGGTTTAGGGTTTAGGGTTTAGGGTTCATGTACCTCATTGTTATATACGTGGGCCCCAGAGTCCTTATATCGGAAAGTGCTTTAAGGCCCAAGTACTCCTGTGGTTTGGGTACATGGACCCTGAGGGTAATGTAGAGATTCCTTAAATACGAATCATGTAACACCAGCATGGGGTGTGCTTCCGAGCGGCTTTTTAGGCTCAGGGCTTATGGTGATTCTTTTTTTTGGGGGGAAGGCCTATAATAAGGAGAGAACATGTTGGTGGACCGTTAGTACAGTGCATCATAACCCTAAACCCTACACCCTAAACCCTAAGCCCTAAAACCCTAAACCCCAAACCCCAAACCCCAAACCCTAGCCATATGTCCTTTGCGGCATCTGCTTAATGGGAGGTGCCGTGATCTGAAGCGGCCCTCCGAAGCTCCGAGCCTTCTGTTTGCTTTCTCACATTCAACTCAACATTAGCAAGCCCGAACTGTTGTTTGCTTAAGACCTCCTCCCGAGAAAAGAAACAAACAAGATAATAAGCCCTATATTGCCCTTATAAGGAAGAATATGTTTGTTCTTTTGGGGGCCCTTATAGGCAAACGGCCTCCCCCCAACTGCCTGTAGACAGATCGATGTGCATGAGGGCCCTTTCTGAGAGGTACCGTGGGGGGAATAAGAGGGGGGATGCAGACTTTTCAAGGGTTTAGGTTCTAGGGTTAGGGCTAGGTTTAGGGTTTCAATGCTTGCCAAAAAGCAAAGGGCCTCGCTATGCCACCTATGCGGCGGCGGGAGGCGGGGGTGGCGGAGGAGGCGCCTGACCAAACACTGGTTGAACAGACCAGGGCTGCATATATAGCTTCTCGTGCCACAGTACACAAGCACAGTACACAGATTATGATATATGGGTGGGGGGGGGGGGGGGGGGGAGGTTGTAGTGGTAGCATATTGCGAAACACGCTCTTTCTCTCTCACTCTCTCTCTCTCTCTCTCTCATTCTCTCTGCTTCCTCTGCTCCGCAGGCTGGATACCCCTCCCCGTACGCATGGCACACCCTGAGTTCGCGAACAACGCACGCCCTGTCCACAGGCCCCACCCTAAACCCTAAACCTTTTTTGAGCCCTAAACCCTAAACCTTAAACCCTAAACCGCTCCATGAAAGGCCCCCAAAAGGCTTCGACGGGCCTTGTTGTAGCCGCCTGTAGGCTGCGGAAGCAGCAATCCGCCTGTCCCTGACGGTCGCTTGGTGTCTAGGTGAAAGGCCTGAAAATACTTTTTTGTTTTTAAGAAATCCCTGGTAGACGTCTGTGTACGTACATACACATACATATATACATATATATATATATACATACAGGTGTATATATATATATATATGTGCAAGTGTATATATATATATACATACCCATACATAACGATATTGTGGCATCTCAGTTTATCGCCCACTTGGATGTCCGAGGTGGCTAGGAGTGGGGCCATGTCGTAAACCTACAGCCCACATCCAAAACCTTATCTACTACTTGCTGAAGAACCTCCTTTTATTATAAGAAGAATACTTTTTTTGAACTTCATCTGGGGCTCTTAGGTAACCCTTGGGCTCCAAGTTCACTATACTCAGCACGTACTTTAGGGCCCTATATAAGCCTTGACAAGTAATCCCTAGACCCTAAACCCTAAACCTTTCTAAGTAACCCTAAACCGGCCCTAATGTGTTGGAAGGCACAAGTGGTCCCTTTTTGGGTACATGGGCACTTACAAGGAGGGGCCCCCTTACTATACTAATGATAGTGAAGGAACTCATAAGTTAGGATCCTTATAACGCAATTTAGGGCTCTTATAACTCTGCCTATACCTGCGGGGGGAGGGGGGCAGCCTACCCCTAAACCCAAACCCTAAACCCTATATACTGCACCCTAAACCCTAAACTAAACCCTAAACCCTAAACCCTACACCCTAAACCCTAAACCCTATGTACTGTACCCTAAACCCTAAACCCCCTCCTTGTAGGGATAAGGGCCCAGACCTCGTGCGCCCTCGGGCGCCGCAGCCGCTGCCGGTGGTTGGGCAGCCTGTGCCTGGGGAGCCGCTGCAGCCGCAGCCTGGGCTCAGGGTTTAGGGTTTAGGGTTTAGGGTTTGGGGTTTGGGGTTTGGGGTTTAGGGTTTAGGGCTTAGGGCTTAGGGTTTATATAGGGTTTAGGGTTTAGGGTCTAGGGTTGGGGGTTTTGGGGCTGACTCGGCTGGGTTATAGGATGGCATAAGTATTCTGACTTCTGTTTGTTGTCCCGGTGACTACAGTTACTACAGCAAGGGGACCCCTCCTTGAATGAGACCAAGACCCAAGAGCCCTAAACCCTACAAGCCCTAAACCCGACACCAAAAACCCCAAAACCCCAAAACCCCAAAACCCCTAAACCCCTAAACCCCTAAACCTTAAACCCTAAAACCTAAACCCTAAACGCCCGCCTGTTGGGCGGCCTGCGCCGTGGCTCCGCCCGTGGCAGCTGCGGCAGCCGATGGCATACCCCAAGCCATGCCTGCAAGATCCCTAAACCCTAAACCCTAAACCCTAAACCCTAAACCCTAAACCGCAATGACTTTGTTATGCTTGTACTCCCTCAAAGCCC